GATGTTTAAGCTCTTTGTCCTGACCTTGTACACATGAGTGGCCTCTGACTTTTTTCCAATAGACCTGTAGGTTGTGTGAGGTCACCAAGCGATCACGAGCCATGAACAAACCCTTGTGTTTCACTGCCTTTTTGTTGGAAGTGAAGAAACCTTTACATTTCCACAAAGCAAGGTGACAAGAAACCTCAGACGTGTATAATTGGAATCTGTACAGATTACCAAAGGATGAACAGAGCATTTAGCTGTAGTTTGCAGTGTGATCAAAATGCCTGCGATCTTGGCGTACTGTGATGACTGCAAAACCAGTTTAAAGTTCAAAGTGTCCTGTTCACAATTTTGGAGCCAAACAACACAAACACTATCTGTGTTAACAGTGTTGTGGTGGAATGAAAATCCATCCACTTATTGTACACTGTTGTCATACTGTATCTTTGCAGATATTTCATCAAAGTTTTGATGATGTGGGTCGTCAAAGGCTGTGGCATATTTAACAGGTGGCAAGGGGACATCCTATGTGCATTGTTGGCAGGCAGCCAGATCTGTATCCAAAGGGGTTCTTTTGTTTTGAACATAGAATACTTCTATGTCAAATCTCTGCAAAGTCATAAGCCATGAGGCCACTTGTACATTTGTTACCACACCATCTCTGATATGGTGGCTATTAAGGAAGGTCACTGGTTCGTGTTTTATTTCCACAATGGTCTTTTGTTCACCTAAGTAATTAGAGAAATGTTTCACTGCCCACACAGTGGCTAGCAGTGGTTTTTTTTTTTACAGTCAAAGTATTTCAATTCAGGGCCTGCCAGTGTCTTACTGGCATAGGCCACTACCCGTTTGTCATGGTCATAGATTTAGTACAGACCAGTACTCAAGCGGTGAGCTGAGAAGACCAACATTCTCCACGTTAGTTTTGCACCACTGACACTGCAAAAGGAAGATCTTTGCACCAACAGTTGTGAGCTTACCAAAAACATGGTAAATCTCTGCTCAATGAGTGTCAAGTGTGGGTTTATGTTGAAGGATGCCATCTACATAAATGAGAGTTTCATGTTGCCCATACATAAGGACATGCATTGTTCAAGAAGATGCTGAACTCAGCCGGTGAGTTTGCATAGCCAAATGGACACTTGGTAAAGGTGTATTAATGGTGAGCAAAGGTGAAGGCCAACTTATGTTGATCTGCAACATGTATTGGGATTGTCCAGAAACATGAAGCAACATCAAGTGTGGAGAAGTATTTGGTGTGTGTCACCTTTGGAAGTTCCTGTTGGAGCTGAGTCATGGGCCATCTGGACAGAGGAACCTAATTCGGTCTCCAGTAATAAATTGTGAGTCTCCATTTTCCATCGGTTTTAAGAACAGGCCATAAAGGTGCAGGGTAGGTGCTGTTACGTGGTCAAAAAAGTTTACTCTAAAAAGGTTGTCATTAATCTCTTGGGCAGGCTCGTAGGATGCTAAGAGGATCTTGTACTGTCGTACATAGATAGGGAGTGAGTTAGGTGGAGTTGGTATGCGGATGGTGTAAATTGAAGTCAATCCACAGTCCAAAGAGTTGACTGACAGGGACTCTTCATACTTAAGTAGAAGTTGGCAAAGTTTTTCTCTTTCTTCATCGCTGAGGAACACTTGTGACCACGAGCTTTATTTAATGATGAAAATTATTCACAAAAATAATCAGAATCCTTATGTACTCTATCATCCTTCCTCCTAGGCCCCATGGTCCCTTACGTGAATTATGGGTGCGACTTCCAGTACAGACCAGAACCGGTGCTTGTTTATGTGCGAACAGTATGAGCTGAGCTAATGTAGTTTCTCCAAGCATTGTGGATTTAATTTAAACATGTGGGAACACCACCTGTCAGAACTTGAACAATATAATCATATCGCTGCCTACTGCAGACGAGGGATGGGAGGACGACCTGAAGAAAAGGCTGCAGATTACATATACAAACATATTTAGCTAATTCATTGACTCAGTTGCTTCTGACAGTGAAGCAATGAACAACCTGAAAATCTCTGAGGCATATTAGCATCTACACAGTAATAAGGTTGGTCGCATATTTTATTAAATGAGGTGGTACACAATGTTATTTACCTTAAAGCAGACATAGAGCTGAGACAAAGCCTTAAAGTCCAACATCACCAAGCTTGGGTTAATTGCAGAGAAAATGGTAATATCAAAGATGAACAAATACTATAATGCTTTTTTAGATACATTCTTAATTCCTCATCTGTAGGTAGGCGATCAAAACTACACAGCTTTAACAGGAACATTCTTTTTTATTTTGTGTCCATGTTCAAAACACTGTTGTTGTGGCCACTGATTGAGTTTGGTCTGGTTGTTCATGCAGCCGTGAACACAACAGGTACCTGAACTCCACAAGGCTATTTTAATGAACTTCACAGTTGTTAAATAAATGTGAACGAAACAAAAACAGTGTAGTATCCGCTAAAGTGAATGGAAATTAATTTAAACTGCGGTCCATGCTCTGCTACCATGGTTAGCCAATAATTACTGTATACATCACTTATACAATATATCCCCCAGGAATAAAGTGAATACTCTCTCTCTCTCCCTCTCTCTACACACACACACACACACACACACACACA